GCTAGAGAGGGGGAAAAACAGAAAGAACTAAGGATTTTAATTAACCACCGTGCTGATTTACATATGAACACGTAGCACTGAAGAAAGATCCTGTTTCTACTTGTTTACTGCTACATAGACTGGCCACTTGCTACTGGGGAAGTAATATTTGACACTGCTACAGGGAGCAAACTGGTTTTAACTGAGGGCAGAATATAGTCTATCACTTAGTTAAAACCAAGCATCTCAGAGGCCCGCTTCTCTAGAGACAAAAGACTAACGATCCTAACCCAGTATACTTTCTAATGAGTACACTCCTGGCACAGTTGATTGATAGGCTCCAGCACATGTATGAGTATTATAAAGGAAGGGAATAAGCTTTTTATCATGTAAACAAGGACCTGAATAAATTAATATGTAAAGCTACTGGGTGAGAATGTTTAGTATTAAAAAGAGGATTCATTTATTTTTCTTTATGTTTCTGTATGTACAGGTGAGTACAGGTGCCCTTGGAGGCCAGATGGCACTGAATCCACTGGAAGTGGAGTTACAGTTGTTGTGCACAGATTACGACTTCCAGAGAGACCACTAGAAATCAGAGAAGACCAGACTGTGTGTTCCTTTGTGGGGTTAGCTTTTTCAAAGGCAAAAATCACAAGCAGCCCTTCTGGGCAGTCAGGGGGGTTTGGCACGGGCGCAAGGTCTTTGCTTTCTCTCCCAGCCGTTTAGTTAGCTTGTCCTTTGTTTTCAGTGAAAGGCCACCCTGCCCCTGGGTCATGCCATCTTTGTCAGCCTCCACCAGGTGGTCGGGTCCTTATGCTTTGGAATTACTCGAGTGTGTTGTGTGTGGGGTTGGGGTAGGCCACTTTCTGGGAACATGAAGCTAGTCTGGGGTTTCTAATTTTAAAGCATTCTTCTAGGAAATTCCTTCTTGTCCCTTTGAGAATAAGGGATGAGGGTCTCACACAGTCAGTTGTTAGCCACCAGATGAGGGTGCTGGGAATCAAACCCAGGTTCTCTATGAGAGCAATAAGGACTTTAAACTACTGAACTGAATCTTCTGTCCTGCGAAAGGCAATTTTTTTTTTCTTTGAAATAGGGTTTCTCTGTGTAGCCCTGGCTGTCCTGGAACTCACAATGTAGGACTACTCTGTCCTTAAACTCAGAGACCCACCTGCCTCTGCCTCCTGAGTGCTGGGATTAAAGGTGTGTGCGACAACCACCTGACACAAAAGTCACTTTTTAAATGAATAAACTAGATGTTCAGAGTGACTGTCCTCCAAGCCAAGCAACTGCTACCTTGGGGAGTTCATCTGTGCACCCTTGCAAAAGGATTCTCCCAGTAAGCTCTCAATAAATACATGTAGAAGAAAGAAAGAAGTTCATGGCAGAAGAAAAGATTTATGTATTTGCATATTTCAATCTTCAATATCTCTGGTAATAAGAAAAATAAAATACTGAGACATTATTTTTCTCAATGATTGGCAAAATCAAAAAATACTGAGGAAACAGAGGAAAGAGTGCCTTTTATATCAATTATAAACTGACAGCTGGGCAGTAGTGGCGCACCTTTAATCCCATCAGAGGCAGGAAGATCTTTGAGTCTGAGGCCAGCCTGGTTTACAGAGTGAGTTCCAGGAAAGCCAGAACTACACAGAGAAACACTGTCTTGAAACCACCACCCCTCAAAAATACACACACACACATACACACACAGCATAACGTTTTAAAAAGGAAACATGATAATATCTATTAAAATTTAAATATTCACACTTTTCTTCTGAGGGATTTTATTTTCTCCAGTATTTGTCACAGAAGAGGACTGCGCATATGAGTTTTGAGAAGCACATACGTAATACTGGTCACATTAACCTGATTTGTAAATGCAAACAATCAGAGACAAATCTATAAAGCAACTGGTATGAATGAAGTACAAAGGCACTGTGCAGTATTTTTCTTGCTTTGCTTTGAATCAAAATGTTCCATACAGGCCGGGCGATGGTGGTGCACGCCTTTAATCCCAGCACTCGGGAGGCAGAGGCAGGCGGGTCCAGAGCTAGTTCCAGGACAGGCTCTAAAGCCACAGAGAAACCCTGTCTCGAAAAACCAAAATAAATAAATAAATAAATAAATAAATAAATAAATAAATAAATAAATAAAAAATGTTTCCATACATACATTCAAAAGAAAATGACATGCATGGTGATCATAGCTGCTAAGTGCTATAAAAGGACCGGAATTAGACAAACGGGACAAGGACAGAAACAACAGAATAATATATGGCGCACCAACCTTAACATAGTCAACTGCCCTTGGAGAAAAGTCACAGGCATAGGCAAAGATATTCACATCTTCTTCCAACAGTGGGAATAAACAGTTCCCAACTCCACATCCAGCTTCCAACAAAACCAATTTTTGACCTTCATACTGAGGAATGAAAACACAAAACATGATAGGACATTAAACACACCAAGCTAAAAGGTTTAGCAGGCAAGAGACAACATCTCTTAACCTCATGAAGCAGATAACAAGCAACAGAAAGCTAATACTGGTACCTCACTTATAATGACCTCAAACCAGGCAGTTCAGTATTAAGAACAACAACTACAAGAATTAAACCAGCATGAGCACAGTGCAGACACTCTGGGGCTAGCCTTCTGCCTCAAATCCCAACTCTTCTTTGCCTTTGTATTCAGTGCTTGGGCAACTATTTCTACAGCTTTGAGCCTCCAAATTTTTCTACAAATGAGAATACTAATGGACTTCATAGATCTGCTATAAAGCTTAAATAGGAGAATGTATGTAAGATTCTTAGAAATGGCTGCTTGCTACTATTAACTACTACAAGTAGCCTCAATCTGTCGCTAAAGTTTACTCTGAATCTTTAATATTTCCAACTTTCAGATTAGCTTTAAGTAAGCAGAAAATAACATTAAGAGGCTGGAGGGATGGCTCTGTGGTTAAGAGCACTGGCTGCTTCTCCAGAGGAGCCAGGTTTAATTGCCTGCATCCATATGGCAACTTACAACTGCCTGTAATTCCAGCTCCAGTGGATCTGGTGCACTCTAGAGCTTTCTCACCTCCACAGGAACCAGACACGCATGTGGTACACAGACATACATGCAGGCAAAACACTTATACACATAAGATAATAAAAATAAACTAATCTAAAAAGAAAACCTTAAAAGTTCTTCCCTACTAAACAGCACCAAAATTGCTAAAATTACTTGAAACCAAACAGATCGCTCCTTCACAAATAGGACAGGCTCTATAATTTCCTTCAGGACAGTTCAGTCAGTAAAGCGCTTGCCACACCATGACAAGGGCCTGAGTTCAAGTCCTGGCATTCATGTAAAAAGCTAGTCACAGTGACACATGCTTGGAATCCCAGTGCTGGGAAGGCTCCCTGCGGCTTACCGGCCATCTAGCCCAAGCTAATCTGTATGTCCCAGGTCCTAGTGAGAGATGCTGTTTCAAAAAACACGGTAGACAGCTTCGGAGAAATGACAGCTAAGGTTCACATCTGGGAGCACATATTCTATGCTTGCATTCCAGATGAAGATGGCCCAGGGCCAGCAGAAACCCCAGCCTACCTCCCTACATGATCTCAGCTCCTCAAACTCTCTGGTGGTCCAGTGTCTGTCCTTGAAAAAATTGGTACTGTTTCTTTTGTAAAAAAGGTCCCAATTCTTCTGAGCCTCTTTTTCCAGTTTTTGCTGTTTAAAATCAGACACCAAAGCTCGGTCTCTTTGCAGTTTGTCCTCTTCTTCTGAGCTAAGAATCCTTGCTTGCAGACTTTGCCTTTGGAAAGAAGCCATTGCAGCTGGTAGGAACACATTCAACGCTGCTAAAGATTCTCTGGTCTTTGACCGGACGAGCACTCGGAGCTGATACTGCAGACACCGGGTTTTCCCAGGTGCATTTTCCCCATGTGACTTTCAAGCTTCAGCAGCCTACAATGCTACTTAGGAAAAAGATTCTGGTTAGTGATTCTGTAATAGCCTGCCTGGGCTCCATCCCCACTCCTTTGTTCCTGTTAGCCAGGGTCTAGTTATGGAAAGTTGGCCTTGAATTCCCTATGGAAGAAGCCCAGGCTGTCACTTGAACGTACATCCTCCTGCTTCAGCCTTCCAAGTGCTGGGATTGTGGGTGTACCGACTCACTGAGCTAGAGCATTCTTTAGAACTTGTAGAGTTTGGGTTCTAAAATAGTCCAAGACTCTGGGAGAGGAGAGATTCCTGACGAGCTTTTAAGGAGCCGGCTCGATTCCCCAAACACTCACCAGATGCTGACCCTGCCGGGGATGGGAGAGGTCACAAAGCCCAAGTCCGCCTCTACAGCACAAAGAGACTCAACAGCACAAAGAGACTCTCCACAGTCAGAAAGCAGAACTCTCACGTAGCGGACTCCGGTTCAAACCAGATGAGTCAAGTACTACAAGAAATAGATTCGGCTGAGGCAAAGGAACGCTTCCACGAATTGACTGAATACAAGTGAGAAGAAAACTCTCATCAACGTTCAGTGCCGTGGAAAATGAGACTTTAAAACGACAGCAGCAGCCCGAACTGCCAGGTAAAAAGAGGAATCACGGTTCGCTGGGACCGTAGCTTCTTGTTTTCGGAGGTGATGGAGCTAATCCGGAGAGGCCGGAGTTTCTGATCCAAAAAGGCTACACCACCAACCGAAGGAAGCGTGCCGGCCAAGAACTGAAACCCTCACACCGCAGCCATGGAGCGGAGTAGGAAGGACCGAGGGACGGGTCGCTGAGTTCCCAGATCCGTCATCTCTCTCGGGACCCTCAGGATAAACTAGGCCGCAAGGGTCTCGGGCACGTCTGGGGTCGTCGGAATCAACGCGCAGCCTCGCATGCACCCACTCCCCTCGCTCGGGGCGCCCGGCCATCAGTTCACAGGGTTCCCAGCAAAGGACAGGCCAGGGCGCACTCACCTGTCTGTCGAGTCTCCCAACTGAGGTGTTCACTTCCTGAGACGAGGGCAGCTACTGCCCAGAAGGGCCCATTGAAGTTCTCTCTGCCCATGGCACTCCCCCCACTATTTCCGCTGGGGAGCCGGAAGTCCCGCCCCGCTGCCGGAAGCGCAGCGGCAGTACTTCCTCAGAGTCTCTCTGGACGCGGTGTAGACTGGTTTCCGGCCCCCGGTGGGCGCGGACTTGGCTCAGTGCGCGCTCCGGAGCTGTGTCCCGGGAGCGGGGTCCTGCGGGCCGCTTGCGCGGGGATCTGGGACTGCGGCCGCGCGAGGAGAGCGCCGATCCCGGTGCCAGCCAGTTGCAAGGCCATGAACGGCACGGCGAACCCGCTGCTGGATCGCGAGGAGCACTGCCTGCGGCTGGGGGAGAGCTTCGAGAAACGACCGCGGGCCTCCTTCCACACTATTCGCTGTAAGTGAGCCCTCCCCGTGTTCCTTTCGGCCTCTCTGACCACCACGTGCCAGCTTCGACTCCCTCCTGGCCAACCTCGGCTCTCCAAAGCGTCTCTTTTCTTATCACTCACCCCAGATCCTCTGGGACTTCGATCTGTTCTTTTATTTTCAGATGGCTCCTCTCAAACCAAATCTCTGACTGCTGCCAACTAACTATTCCTTTACCGTACAGTCCTTAAGCCAAACTTTACTCCTTTGGAACGAGGCCCCTTTCTTCTCCTTGTATCCCCTTTGTCGAACTACTCCATCAGGACTGACGCCCTGGAAGAGACTTCTCGTTTGCCACGAGCGTCACTTAATCCCTTCTGCACCATTCCTTTCCTTTTCCCTTGGGGCTCTTGGTCCCCATCCACATCTAGGGAATCCGCATTCTTTGTAGCACCCATGAGATTTTTCTCTTCCTCTTTCTGTGCTTCTTTTGACACATTTTGTTGTTGGTTGAGACTGTCTTAATGTAGGCTCTGCTGGCCTACAACTCACTGTATATCTCAGGCCTGTCCTGAACATGCTGTAGGCCTGCCTTAGTCTCTGTAGTGCCTAAATTATGGTCCTGACCTACCATGCCTAGCTGACATTAATGTCTTCAAGTCACCTACACCACCCTATGGGCCAACTCACTTGTGGGGGAAGAATAAAATTCGAGTTTGTGGACCTGGCATAAGTTAAAGCTTGATCTATGTTTGGAAAATGAAGACAGCAGGGTAAGGAATATGGAAGTAGTCATTATGTCGGGCCTTTTCCTACATGATTATAGACTCTCAGAGGGCTACTTCCACTGTGTCCTGAGTAAAGATTCGGCTGACCGAGCACACCCCTCTCTGATTCACAGGCTTCTGGTTTCCGGTAGCGTTAGCACCAGTTAAGACATGCTCTGTCACGGGAGCTAATAGATGTGACTCAACACATCAGAAGGGGGTGTGTGGCGTGTTAGATACAAAAGTCTCATCTTGTGTGGCCCCTTGTCATGCCGTTTCTGTGCTTCCCACTGACAGCAGAGCCAGCTGTTTGAACGAAGCAATACTGGGGAAGTGATAAGACTATCGTTTTTTCCCTCTCCACTGAGGGGCAGTACGATAAGTGAGAATCTGCACATGTGTGCCTGGCCTGAAGTGTGAGGCAGGTGTGTGGTAACAGGAAGTAAAATGGCTCTTCCGATTGTGTCATTTGTAAGAATAAGCAAGATAACTTCTGGAGTTCGCCCCTCTGCTTCTGAATATATCCAGAAGTATCTTTTTCAAAATGAGAGAGCTTGAGTGTGGCAGGTTCTACTTTTGACCATTTCTATGCAGAAAGAAGTCAGCCTCGTGTGGCCTCCTGTGTCTCATGTCGATTTGCAGCCAGAATGTTTGCTCTGTGGCTTCTGTGCACACAGTTCTAATAATTCCCGTATTATGGAAGATAGATGTTAGCTGTTAGCTCTCTCTTGGAATATGGGAATATCTGTATGAGTTCCAGCTCCCTATACTAAAATAATAATGTCGTTAAAGGCAACATATGTAGAGGTAGGTGTTCCTGACTTGGTAATTATTGAATTGGATGGCGGTATTTTTGGACTCATTGTTCTAGTCTATACTTTAGCATATATAAAGTTTTCTATGATGTAATTTTTTTTTAAGAATTTTAAATGATGGGGGTGGGCAGTTGGCTTAGTTTATGAAATGCTTACCATGAACGGATGGGTCTCTGATTTGGATTTCTAGAACCCACATAGAAGTGCCACAGTGTAAGCCGGGCGGTGGTGGCGCACGCCTTTAATCCCAGCACTGGGAGGCAGAGGCAGGCGGATCTCTGTGAATTCCAGACTAGCCTGGTCTACAAGAGCTAGTTCCAGGACAGGCTCCAAAACCACAGAGAAACCCTGTCTCGAAAAACCAAAAAAAAAAAAAAAAAAAAAAAGAAGTGCCACAGTGTGGTAGTAAACAGCTGTCATCCCAGTGCTGGGGACGACAGAAGGATCACGGGCGACTCGCCGGCCTCACTTACTCCGTGAGTTCCAGGCCAATGAGAGACTCTGTCTCTGAACAAGGCAACCCCGCGCAGTGGTGGTGCACGCCTTTAATCCTAGCCCTCAGGAGGCAGAGGTAGTCAGATCTCCTGTGAGTTCATGGCCAGCCTGGCCTCCAGAGCAGCTTCAGGACAGCCAGGGCTACTCAGAGAAACCCTGTCTTGAAAAACCAAAACCAACCAAAAAAAAAAAAAAAACCCACAATAACAAAAAGACTAACAGTACCTGAGAGACTAAAATCCTACAGATAAATGTACCCATGTACATATAGGAACATACATACATCCATGAAAGAATCCTCAACAATTTTTATTTAAGTAATACAATTTTTAATTTGAAATTAAAATGCCCCAGAAGCCCTTATATTCAGTCCCCCAATGGGAAATATTCTTTCTTTCCTTTAGATGATTTTAAGCCAGCATCGATAGACACTTCCTGTGAAGGAGAGCTCCAGGTGGGCAAAGGAGATGAAGTCACAATCACACTGCCACACATTCCTGTGAGTTGTTCCCATCGTTGACTTCGTATAATGAATCCTTGTATTTTATTTAGTTTGAATTTCTTTTTGTTTGTTTATTTATTTAGATTTTTAAAAAGTCAATGTAAGTAAAATTGGAATTTAGGGGTTGGGTGGGTAGTAACTCATGTGTCATGGGACTTGGTTTAAGGTAGCTCTTTGCCCTTGTTCCTGAGCCTTCCTCTCCCGAGCATGCAGTGTAGTAGGTAGGTTTCCATCTGGACAGTGGCCCCTCTGCTAGACATACATAGAGTTTCTCCCATACTGTTCTGGAGAGAAAGGCCTCATGTGCCATGTGTAACCATAGCAACTTCTGAACACCAGGCAGCCAGAAGGCAGGTAGGAGCCAGAGAGGCAAATTTATATATGGTAAGGGTCCCGTGCAGGCTGATGGTCCCAGGCAGGAACTAAAGGTTTGGAACATTGCTAATTTAAGGATGAAGAACTCAGTTAAAAGCTGCACCAGGGACTTGGAAGAAAAGATTTTGTAAAGCTCTCTTCAGGGCAGCACTTTGGGTCTGTAGCTGTAGACTTGCTTTGCATGATGAGGTCCTAGGTTCAATCTTCAGCCAAAGGAAAAACAGAAAGAAACCGTAACTGAAGTGTGTGTTAACAGTGCTTTGGCCTGGGAAGATGGCCCAGAATAAAGGGCACAAACATGAGGACTGGAGTTGGGTCCTCAGAATCCATGTAGAAAGCATGGGAAACATGGCAGCTGCCCATGGTCCCACATTTACAGAAGTAGGGACAGATATCCCTGGGGCATGGTGGCTAGGTCGACTTAGTGGGGTTCAGCAAGAGACCCTGCCTCAGCAAAGAAAAGTGTAGAGCAGTTGAGGAAAGTACCTGATGTCAACTTTGAGCCTCCAGGGGTTGTATGCACATATGCACACACATCTGCCCCCACACAAGGAAACAAGTACACATGTAAGTACACCGCACACACATGCAAACAAACAAGTTAAAACAGAAGAGGTTGTTAGCACATTGCACAGCTGTGTCCTCAAATACTGTGTAACTATTGACAGAATGGCCTGTATACCTCTGAGCTGAGGAGAAACAACAGCCTGTTCCTGCAGACTCCTCTTTTCTTGCATGTTACTGTGGCAGGTTACATCATCTCCCATTGGACCTTAGTTTCCCAAATGAAAAATGAAGGAGTTGGGTAAATGGTCCCTAAGCTCCCTTTCAAACCTAATTTTTTATTGCAAAAATAAGGGGTTGAAGAGCCAAGCATTTTTTTTTCCTAAGCAAGAAATTAAATCTTATGTCTGACAAATAGTGAATGGATGTTCAGGGTACTAGCCCATTCCTAGGAGAATTGAACTTTAAACAAGTAAATTTCTTGCCGTTGTGCAGCTTAGGGTCCAGAATTAAATATGGGAACATATAGCCATTGCTGGATGTGATGCTCTCCTGTAATCCCAGCATTTGAAAGGTGGAAGCAAGATGATTGAGAGTACAAGGCCAGCCTGGGCTACGTGGGACCCTGTCTCCAAAACAAGTACTTGTTGTGGAAAGCTAGCTCATCTTTGGACTTAGCAGAAGGTTGACAGGAGTGTCACGGTATAGCAGGCAGAAGCCCAGTTAAAGCCCTGAGGCAGGAACAAGAGCTCCTTGTTTTCTGAAAGGGTGGGTGGTGGAACCAGGGGCCACCTTAAAGATGGTACCCTTTGGTCCTAGAGCAACAGGGGAGCAATTGAAAGGCTTGCTTAGATGACTAGCTTGGGTTAGTTTCTGCTTACCAGGTTTACTGGCTACCATTGGAGAATGCTATGTTGGTCCTTTGCATGATGCAGAAACCCTGGACTCTTCAATTGCAAAGGAATACAGATCACTCACTAGTTTAACCAGTCACAGTGATAGTTACGTGTAGAGAAAAGTTTATTGTTCTTAGACCATATAGCATTATTCTTGTTTACTTAGGTAATATCATATAGCATTATTCTTGAAACATTTCCCACACCCTTAAAAATGTGCCTTATAACCTAAAACTTTTATGATACATTCGTGATTACCTAAAATCAGATGCTTGCTATGTTCTAATTGTTCCTTTTGCCTCGACAGAGACTGGTCATTTGTTCTTTCTCTTTCTTTTATTTTTTATTAAAGGAGCTTTTATTTATTTATTTATTTTTTCCGAGACAGGGTTTCTCTGTTTTAACAGCCCTGGCTGGTCTGGAACTTGCTTTGTAGACCACTCTGGCCTTGAACTCACAGAGATCCCCCCCCCCCCCCCCCCCCCCCCTCAGCCTCCCCCGCCTAGTGCTGGGATTAAAGGCCCGTGCTACCATGCCTGGCTGCCATTTGTTCTTTTTGAGTAGCTCTGATGAAGGGTGGATGAGGCAGTGTCCTTTGTAAAGGTGGCTGTTCATAACTGGTGTGTTTATACTTTTGTGGCAAACAGGGGTCCACACCACCAATGACCGTGTTCAAAGGGAACAAACGGCCTTATCAGAAAGATTGTGTGCTCATTATCAATCATGACACCGGAGAGTATGTGCTGGAGAAGCTCAGCAGCAGCATTCAGGTCAAGAAGACGAGGTATGGCTGACTTCTGTGCCCTCCCTTTCTCTTGCACTGTGGGGATCATGTGTGCCAGCAGGTGCTGTCCTGAAGGATATCCTTAAACATTTCTAAATCTTTGGTATTTAGTCCAATTTTATAAAGGTGCCAACATCTGCTTGTTCATAGTGTCCCATCAGTAATGTTAGCTACTTCTGTCTCAGACAGAAATGCACATTTCCCTCAAATGCAGTAAATAACACATTTAAGAGCTGAAACATGAAGTCATTGGGGAAACAAGGTACTTATAATTGGGCCAATTTTGTCAATCTCATAATTGCTCTTATACTATCAAGTGGGGAATTTGATTCATACGTATATACTTAAAATTACAAAATAACAATTGCATAACCTTTTTAGAGTGAATTGTTGCTTATAAACTGGGATGTTTTGAGGTGATTATATTGTCAGATAAACCCTTGCTAACCGACTATGGGGGTCACACTTGTAAGCCTAGCATTTGAGAGTTGCAGGCAGCAGGATGAAGAAGCCACGGCTATTGGCAGCTACATAGTGAGTTTGAGGCTAGTGTTAGTCACATGAGACCCTGTCTCAAGACAACAACAGCAGCCACAGAACATGGGCTTACAAGATTGCTTAGTGGGTAAAAATGTTAGCCAACAACTCTGATGACCTGAGATGAGTCCTCAGGACCCACACGGATAGAAATATAACTTAAAAAATTTAAAATAAAACAAAATGTTTCTTAATTTTTTAAATAGTGAACTTTCTTAGTAGGTCATTCAACATTAGAGTTTGTCTGGACATCAATTTATTATATAAAGACCCTGGAATAGAGTATTCATTGTAAGATAGTGATTACGGGTTTTATGGGGGGTGGGGTGGGGTACTGGGCATCAGATCTAGAGCTTTGCACATGGTAGGCAAGTGCTCTTACCACTGAGCTAAATCACAAGTCCGCTAATTATGCTTTGAGAGCTATTGCAGCCTGATGTCTGTGTCTGCTTCCCTGAGCCAGTTTTCTTTCACTCATTTCACCAGAAAAGGAAAAGCTCCCACTTGTTGAGATTATCATGGGCCATACGACGGATGTTTTAGGTGTGGTGCCTAGTCTTTACCAGTAATTTCTAGATTATTGTTTCTTTGAGGCAGAGGATGTGCCTGGGCTTTGCAGAAGTTGTGATTTACCTAATTTGACTGTTAGAGCTGAGACCCCACCCTAGGGGATGAGGCTGTAGTGCCTGTTTCTGTCCTGCCCCTTTGTCTTGTATCAAGGCCTACGGTAAACCTGCTATCCCTGTGCTACCAATGGTGCTCTGTTCCCTTTCTACTCTGTGGTCTGGGAACTAGCAGCATCCCTCCTGGGTACTTGTTACATTCTCAGAATAGCAAGACCTACTAGGTCAGAACCTGCAGAGATCTCAGGGGATTTGTGCAGATGCTAAAGTTGAGAAGCACTGGGCTATTCCATTTGCAGAAGAAATTATTATTTTTTTAGTATACAGACACTTTTTATTGGCTACTGAACAGTATATCTTTTTTTCATCTAGTCATTTCTGAGCATTTTGATTTCTCTTTTTTAATTCTTCTCTCATACAATACATCTCAACTGTAGTTTCTCCCAGCTTTCCCCTGACTAGGTCCACTGTGCCTCCATTTCCCTTCAGAAAAGAGCAGGCCTCCCAGTGGTATCTACAGAACATAGCATACCAAGGTGCAATAAGACTAGGCCAAACCCTCTTAATCCAGGCTGGATGAGGCAACCCAGTAGGAAGAAAAGAGCTCCAAGGGCAAGCAAAAGAGTTGGAGACATCCCACTCCACTGTTAGGAGTCCCACATACACCGGGCTCCCACAAACAATCACAGCATGTACGAGAGGCGCAGGGGGAATTTTTTTTTTTTTTTGATTTTCGAGACAGGGTTTCTCCGTAGCTTTTGATTCCTGTCCTGGAACTAGCTCTTGTAGACCAGGCTGGCCTCGAACTCACAGAGATCCGCCTGCCTCTGCCTCCCGGGAGTGCTGGGATTAAAGGCGTGCAGCACCACCGCCCAGCAGGAGGAATTATTAATGAGTAAAACTTCTCACTTGGAAGTAAATAATGGAAATAATGGAAAATTTTGCAAGCTGCCAACATTTCAAAATCTAGTTTATTCAGAAACTTTATTTATTATTACAACTGTATATTGAATTTAAGTCATATTGTGATATTTTCTTATAAACACATTTAATCACACTATATCTCTGTTATCTCCTTGCTGAACTTATTGGATGTGGCACATCTATAATCTCAGCTCTTGGAAGGCTGAGGCTGACCCAGAGTACAGTTAGACCCTGACTCAGAAAGGAAAAAAAGGATGCTCCTTGGAAGCAGAGGATCATTTCATTGTTTTGAATTGCTGATGCTTAGTACAGTTCTAGGGTGCAGTAGCCATGTGGATGTTGAGTGCTTTTTCATGAAGTCATAAAGATCAGATTTATAGTCACCCGGAAAGAACACTGGTTCTGCAGATACTGCCTGTGTGCTTGGTCATCGGGAGAGAAACTATTTTGCCTCTTGATTTAATGTCTATTTCAGAGCCGAGGGGAGCAGTAAAATCCAAGCCCGAATGGAACAACAGCCTGCTCGTCCCCCACAGCCATCACAGCCACCACCTCCTCCACCACCCATACCATTCCGAGCCCCAACGAAGCCTCCAGCTGGACCCAAAACGTCTCCCTTAAAGGATACGCCCTCACCTGAACCCCAGCTGGATGACATCAAAAGAGGTAGAGCGCTGGGCTAGTGCATGCAGTCAGGCACAGGGTTCTCAGAAGCTCACAGAGTTCATACCACCTTATCGATGTGTCACCAGAGTTCCTGGCTCTGGAGCTGCTGAGGGCTGACGTTTTCCCATGCATCATTTGACAAGAATGAGTTCGGGTTGAGTGGGATTGTCTTGGCAGCATTCTTAGAGGCTTAGGGGTTAAGTAAGCACTACTATTAGCCAGAGCTATCCAGGGCTTTAGACTCCTGGAAAGAGTATTCTTAGTGTATAGATTCTGAGCTCTCTGAGCTCACATACTAATGTACGCAAATATAACATACAGTATCCAGATTCGCTGTGTATTTTCCACCTTTATGTGACGTTACTTTAACATCTATTTCTTTTATTTTTACTTTTACTTTTGAGACAGGTTCTTTCTATATCTTTGGCTGTCCTGGAACTCCCTCTGTAGACCAGGCTATCTTTGAACTCACAGGGATCCACCTGCCACTGCCTCCCAAGTGTTGGGATTAAAGGTGTGTGCTACCACACCTTGAACTCACAGAGATCTGTCTGCCTCTGCCTCCCAAGTGTTGGGATTAAAGGTGTGTACCACCACACTCAACTGTTCTCTTTATTTTTTATTTTAAGGACTTTATCCTTTTTCTTATCTTTCCCAAGCCAGCATATATTTTTAACATACAGTAAAAGATTTAGAGGTTTTTTTTTCTTTGAATCTCTCCTTACTATATATCTCTCTTTTCTGACTGCACAAGTCTTTAATTTACCAAGCAATATGGGTAGGATTAAAGCTGTGGCTTTGATGGCTGAATCCACCCCATTCCTTAGCTTTATGAGATTCCAGCCTCATGGCTGAGGTATTTATTGTCACAACTCTATGGCATTTCAAGGTCCCTGCCAGCAAGTAAGCTGCAGCAGTAGGCCCACAAACCACACTCAAATGCTCTGTAGTCAGACCGCCTGCCTGAAAGAGTCAGAGTTTGCCCTGACAGGACAGCCCAGAAAACTAGCGTTTTAAAATGGCACAGCTTTTTTTTTCCTGCTACAGCTGAAAACCGAAAAGTATGCGGTCACCTTTTTATCAACCCTATTTAAGTGTTTCTTGGCAGGACCTCTTAAAAGAGCTGCAAGGCTTTACAGCTAAAGCTGAGTCAGGAAGCCTCTCTTAGATTGAGAGCCCTTGCTTGCCTCTAGCAAGCAGAGCACACCTGAGAAATTGCTGCTACCAAGAAACCATGCCTAATGCTGTTATTTTGTTCTAGAATTACTACAGGCTATTTCAGGCTTTATGTGGATGCAGCTATCCACACGTTGGGTGCCATTCTGTAACATGAGGGCCACCTTGTTGGGGTTTCTGTCCTGCCCAGTTCCCACAGCCGGTAAATCCCCAAAAAAATACACAGAAGTCTATATTAATGATAATACTGATTGGCCCATTAGCTCAGGCTTCGTATTAGCTCTTATAATTTATATTAACCCATTATTCTTATCTATGTTAGCCACATGGATCGATACATTTTTCAGGGGGGCAGGTCACATCCTGCTTCTTCAGTGTCTGGACAGGACTGGGGAGAGAGTTCCCTTCTTCCCAGAATACTCCCGTTCTCATTGCCTTGTCTCTACTTCCTGTCTGGTTGCCCTGCCTATACTTTGTGCCTGGCTACTGGCCAGTGAACATTTATTTAAAACATAATTGACAGAATGTAGAATTGTCCCACACCATGCTCCCCTTGCCAGGGTCTTCCTTACAGGCATCCATGGGAGTCAGAAAGGACTCAGGCTCACACAGGCTGGCCAGTTGTCTCTTTTCCTTAGTGGCTGAGGAAATCCATTGACATGGGCCTCACTCCTAGTCAGCAGTTGTGATGTTTAGTGTTAACTGTCAAGTTGTCAGGCTCTGAAATAAATCACTTAGGGACAAGCCTCTAGGCACTCCGGTGAGGGGTTATTTAGCCTCTGGGCATGGCCCTGGGGGATTGTCTAGATTAAATAGAGGTGGGAACACCCAGGCACCAGGCACCACAGGATTTGATCACGGACTATAGAGGAAGAGAAAGTGAGCAAACAGGCTTCTGTTGCTCTCTGCATGTGACTGGGTGCAGAGTGACTCAGTGCCTCAGGCTCTCCTGCATTGTGACTTCACTGATAGCTGGGAGCTGGAATAAATCCTCCCTTATGTCACAGTGACAGAAAGAGAAACTGAGATAGGATCTAAAATAAGCCCTCTGACTTGCCGCTGCTTGATAAGTGTTTTTCTTTCTTCTCTCTCAGCTGGAGTTTTAGACGATAACTCCCATTTGTCTGCTTGTCTGTGGAAAAGGTCTTGCTCTGTAGCCCAGCCTGGTCCCAAACTCAAGCTCTCCTGACTCCACTGGCTATGGGCACACACCACACCCAAATCAGGGTCTGTATTTAAGGGAGTAATAACCCTGATGTGCCTTACACAGAAGAGACATTCTGTAGCAGCTCTGCCTTTTGTTCATTTTGATGAATTCAGTGTTCCCGTCAGCCCCGAAATGGAGTAGGTATTGTTGTCAGTTTGGAGGTTCTTTGTGTTGTACTCCAGAAACGGAAGATCGAAGTCCCTCTCTGTAGTTGGTCTTGTCAGCTCGCTGTTCCCAGACACTTCCTGTCATCTCAGAGCGGGGCTGTACTGATGCCCTGGTGTCGTTGCAGAGCTGCGGGCTGAGGTCGACATCATCGAGCAGATGAGCAGCAGCAGTGGGAGCAGTTCCTCTGACTCTGAGAGCTCCTCTGGGAGTGATGACGACAGCTCCAGCAGCGGAGGAGAGGACAACGGCCCAGCCTCTCCTCCCCAGCCTTCACACCAGCAGTCCTACAACAGCAGGCCCACAGTGGCCAATGGGACCAGCCGGCCCCAAGGAAGCTCTCAGCTGATGAATACGCTCAGTAAGTGTGTCCTCCTTTAGTGGCGGAGACAGGGCACACTGTATGCAGCTTCTATTGCCCTGTGCCAGAACCTATTTATAGGCATTTAGGGCATAGGGAAGGTTCTTGACAAGGACCCCAAATTCACAATCTTTTCTTTCTTTTTACCCTTTACTTGTGGCTGTGACTTCTACAAAATGCTTAAACTTGATTGTACGCTCTTTGGTTTTCCATACACCAGGTTTAAGATATGGTCTGCCTACAACTGGCTTTTAAAAGTTAACCCATTACCTCTATTTAGGTAGCCTTTGGCAAGAGAAAAGACAGGATATTGTCTTGCTTGGGTATATTTCCAGCAGTTGATAAGGTAACAGAAAAGCCATAAATATTGGCTTTGTTTCAGAGTGGGGCGATTCTGTGTTCTCTCTCTCCCTCTCCCTTCCTTCTTCCCTCCCTCCCTCACTCCCTTTTTGGAACCTTGCATGATGAAATTAGAAGGCCTAGCAGCAGAGGTGGGATGCAGACCTGATTAACCTTGCAATGTGGCCCAAGCAGACATTAGTTTCAACATTGTGGACATTCCAGGATGGGTAGTTCCTTTCTGCAGGCCTTGTTGGGTGTGTAGTGTCTGGCCTTCACCTAAAACACCTCAGCATTTTGCCTGGTTGGTGTGCCCTGTCGTCTGTGTAAGTTGAGGTCCAGGTAAGAAGTCTGTCCTCACACAGCCAAAAAAGGAAGTCCTTAGGGATGATGCTGGGCCCTCTGCAAGGGTGCTGAGTCCAGAGACAGAAAAAGCTGATTTAAATTTAAGAAATATGGATGTTCACTTTCATTCAACTGCTATCAGCTAAAGTTCTTTTATATACATTTCTGTTATGTGAACTTGAAGTATTGAGTCCTTTTGAATTCTAGATACTACATACCAAATCTGGAGCTTTCTCTTAAAGAAATAGAAATATCCTGGTCAGAGGTAGGCAGAGGTGACAATGGATTAGCATGCTATGGCTCTCAGCTTCCATAATGGAAACATCTTGTTTACTTAACTTTTTTGAAAGTGGGGTGGGGAGTTAGGGAGGTTGAATTTAATTTGATCTTCCTGCCAGAGCCTCCTTGGTACTGGGGTTATGGGCATGAACCACCACACCTGGCTCTTAGTTTTTCCTAAAACAATTTCATGAAGCTGCTAAGATGGCTTAGGGTTAAGAGCACTTGTTCTTGCAGACAACCTGGGTTTGATTCCTGGCATACACATGCTAGTTCACAACCACCTATAGCTCCAGTGCCAGGGGATCCAATGCCCTCTTCTGACCTCCAAGGGTACCAGGTACCTACATGGTATATAGACATGAATGCTGGCCAAACACTCATATACATAAAATAAAATAATTATAAAGCAACTTAATGTGAATGAGTCTGCCAGATGCTGTGTGTTATTTCTATTTTCTTAGCACATTTAAAACTGTCTTGCTGCTCCTTCTCAGTACTAATAAGCAGTACCAAACTGCTTTGCACATCCTAAAAAGAGTGTTTCTTTTAGAATGTCGACTGCTCCAGCCTTTTCAATGAGCCAGATTGGTTTTCCTGCCTTATAAATTGGATTAACAAAGTTTTTTTTGTTATTTATTTTGTTTTTAAATTAGATTTATTCTTTTTATTTTGTGTATATGTTTTGCCTCCTTGTATGTGTTATGCTATGTGCATGTTTGATGCCCTTGGAACTGGAGCTATAGGTAGTTGTGAGCCACCATTTGGGTATCAGGAATCAAACCTGGGTCCTCTGCAAATGCTCTTAACCGTTGAACCATCTCTCCAGTCCCGATTTGGAAACTTTTAGTATTACGTGATAGTTGAGCAGCCAGCCAAAGAATTTTAAAGAAGTCTTGATGTTTTAAGTGAAGGAGAAATATAAGCATATTAAAGTGTAAAGAGATACACTCTAGACAGAGCAGAGGGAAGTGAAGAACGCAGAGGAGCCAGAGAAGTTATTAACTGCTATGCTCTTAGCTTCATTTTGTTTTCTTTTGTAGGAAATGACTTGCAGTTAAGTGAGTCTGGCAGTGACAGTGATGACTAGCTCCAGGCTTTTGAAATCTGCTTCCGGTACGTGGACATGCTGCAAGACCCAGCGACTTCTGCCAGGATTCCACGCCACAGGAGGATGTTGCACAGCAGGGCCTGTAGGAGCAGTTAAGGCCTGGGAGCATGCAGACACTCAGTTTTTGACTTGGTGGTGGTGGGTGATTTTCTCACGTAATTCTTGAACAATCTCTTGTTTCAGAGTTTAAGTAGATCTATAGGAGAACGAATGGAATTCTGTTTCCACGTGGTTAACATTATTAATGAAAAACAGATCCTGATCTCGGGCCCTCAAGGCCCCTGTCCTCACCAGGCCAGTGATTCAGCAGCCATCAGTTTGGCCAGGCAGTCTGTACCAGTAAAATAAAAGTCTTTGAGGGTTATGGAAAGAAAGGAGATCCTCAAACTGTGTCATAGAAATATGTTAAGACCACTTTCCATCTTTGACATGAAGTGGTAAGGAAGTTTTGTGTGACCCAGTTTGACAAGACCATAGAAGTAGACCTTGGCAGAGTCTTTGGGTCAATTAGTGTGTGTGTGGGTATGTGTGGGTATGTGGTTGTGGGTGTGTGTGCTGGAAATCCAGTTGCTCGACCCAGCGCAGCTAGGAAAGGAAAGCACACTGCAGGGAATGTCCAGTCACCTGTCTCAGGTGTACGCTTGCTCGCTATTTCTTTGAATTACACTTGCTGGCGTCAGACTTTTCTGCACAGACGTTTCTGTCAGATTCCAAAAGACAAAAGCATTGCTGCCATTCAGCTCGGATTCAGACTCAGGCAATTCCCGTGTATGTGAGGCGGAGTGAGCAGCAGCTGCCACGCTGACGCACATCCTCAGCTCATCTGAGACTTCTGGGTTCACATGGATCCATCCTCAGGTATTCTTAATCCCGTGGCTGTTAGCGGAGGATAGGAATCAAGGAGGGGTGTAGTGGGGAACCCTCTGAGCAGATTGGCCAGCTGCAAGCCTCCAGAGTCCAGATAGGAGTTCTGCAGTATGAAATACTCTTCATGAGCTCTCTATGCTTTTGTGCCTGACTCCCAGACCAATTGGTATTTTCATAGAAGAGAATCACAAGATTGCCTTTTGCAGTGTGCCATTTCCAAATAACTGTTCTTGCTGGAAACTGGTCACGAGTCAATGTTCCACACTGAGGAAGTGTGTGGTGACTTGTACGTTGCCACCCATCTCACAGTAGATGTAGTTAGAATGAATATATCCTAGGAAATTCCTGTCTTTCAGATAATACTAATGCTCTTTTTCCCTTGGGTTTTCCTCCACTCACATAAGCCTTTCTCCTGAGCTAGTGGAGGGAGGTGTTCTGGACCTAGAAAGGAAATGAATGGTCCATGGTGGGACTTAGGTTAGACTCATACCATATAGGTAGGATCCTAACTGTTTGATCCGCAGATTGCAGTGGGATAGAAGCCATTGCCTAGCAGCACATGTACACCATTTTGCCCAAGTACCTCGTGCTGGGGTCTCAGCCTCTGGGGCGATGCTCGGTGAATCTCCATGGCAGGTGGGAACCTTCTTATAGCAAGCTGATAATTTCTTTATAATTCTTTGGTAATGGCAGCTCAGGGAAGGTGCAGGTTATGATTGGGTGGCTTGAATTGTCCCTGGATCTGGGAATTGAATTGTCTTACTGTTCTTTGCCTGCTTACACTGGGGCAGGTTCCAGGAACTTGAACTAAAAATGCAATGTAGATCTCACCCTTGCTCTGCCCTTCTCCAAAGCCTTGGTTTCTGTAGACAGAACTGTGTGTGGGCATGCTGGCCAGTGACTGTTTCTATAGGAAGTGCCTGCATGTGGCACTGGGCTTGGTCAGTCAGACTCTCTGTCACCCGGCCTACCCAGCACCACATGCTTTTGTTGGCTCCAGTTTGTGCTCTCTGCACAGTCCTTCAGTGCTTCCATCTTCTTTCCCTTCCTTAGTAAAAAGCAAAACAAAAACAAACAAACAAAAAAACCAACAAAAACCATTTTTGAAAATCCAGACTCTTGCCTCTTACATTGATGATGACAATGATGACTTCTCGGGTATCCTTGTGCCAACTGAGTGACTTCCTTCCTGTCTCTGTGCCTTTGCTGTTCCCTCTTCTTCACCCACTCAACCTTCTCCAGACTCCTCAGGTACCATCTTCACCAACTCTAGGTCTTCCCACCTATGGGGTATGTCCTAATGTGCATACAAATTGCCTTTCTCCTACCTGGTCTCTGGTTGGTATGAGTACCTCAAAAGTACAGAAGTAGACATGCATGTGCTCCTAGCTTAGAGGACAGGAGGCTGAGAGAACTAACTAGTTAAGGATTGAGAATAAACATAGGGGAAACATTCCAGTGTAGCTTTATACCCGGAAATAATTATACAGAAGCTGTATTCTTTTAAACACTGCTTGGCCCATTAGCCTCTTACTGGCTAAGTCTCACATCTTTATTAACCCATTTCTATTAATGAGTGTAGCACCACGAGGTGGTGACTTACCAGAGGGGATCTTAACCTGCATCCATCTTGGAGAGGAGAGTTATAGCGTCTCCTTCTTCCCTTCTTCCCAGCATTCTGTTCTGTCTACTCCGCCTACCTAATTTTCTGTCCTATCAAAGGCCAAGCAGTTTCTTTATTAATTAACCAATGAAAGCAACAGACAAATGACGCTTCTCCATCATTTCCCCTTTTTCTGTTTAAACAAAAAAGAAAGGCTTTTACTTTAACATAGTAAAATTACATATAACAAAACAGTTATCAAACAAGAATTACAGTTACAATATTTATATCTATTTTATCTTGTATCATAACTAAGGAAAACTATAACTATCCATTCTTCAACTCCATCAAAGACTCCAGAAGGATAAAGGATATAATATTACCTAAGTAAACAAGAAATAAGCAACTTTCAAAAATCTAGAAATGACAGAGACATCTTGCTGCCTGGACAATTACCCAAAGTTCCTCTGTACCATTGGGGCATCCATCTTCGGCCTATAGGCCCATAGTATCCAGCAGACATTTCCATGAAGCAGGAAATTTCAAAGGCAGTTCAGTCATTATCTGCTGTGTCCTGTAGAATGTTTCGTGAATTCTTTTAGGAAGCAGGAACCCCGCAAGACCATCTCACCTTTAGGCAAGTTCAGCAGTCCTCTCTCTGAGGGTTCTCTGTGTCCAGTTTATGCATCAGTCCAGGCAAGAGCAGTTTCATGCCCAAATGGCTAACCAACTCCATAAGGATCCTCTTCGAAGCCCATCTTCCTCTCGAAGTAGATTGGTGCTGCCAGGAGCAGACATGTCTCATTGTCATGAAAAGCCCTAAGTTATTAAAACATTAAATGCCATATTCTACAGTCTTTGAATGACATGAAGAATGTCTACATGACTACATGCTTGACTATTATCGATGATTATTCATTAACAACCTATATTTCCTGATTATACATTACATTTTTAAATGAACTACACAATCACAATACCTTAATAAAGATCAGAAATACATATACATATAACAAAATTGACCTTAATACCAATAAAGCAAAATTTATACCAATGTAGATTATTCATATCTATATCATATCCCCTTTTAAATGTAAAAGAACATTTATAAACAATATTTGGGAACATGGGCGCAGTTTTTTCTCTCCTGCTGTATGGGGGCGCTGTTAATCAGGTCTTTCATGGTGTAACCTGTGTGCCAGGTTCATCTCAGTCGGCAGTTGAGTGAAGTAATTTTTTGAGGGTATTCACAGCAACCTTTCAGGAGGACGTGGTCTATCATATCAAATTGGGATAGAAGCAGTCCACAGGGTCTCATCCTCTGTGAAAACAAAAAAAGACCCTCTCCAAAGCATCATATCCTTCGGTCCAAATTCTGAAGTCATACCCTTATGATATCCATTCTGGTCTAGCTTGGTAGCCCATATAATGAAATGTCTCCCTGTACTTAGCTCCTTTACAGTCAGAAATTTTAAAGAAAACACAATGTATACAATCCAGACTTTCTGTGAATTTTCTATTTTTATGTGGCGTATTTTTCTTTATTTCTTTTAATCTATAGCTATCTGTACTCTGTCTCTTTAAAGACTTTACCCTTTGTTTTTATTCTTTCCATCTTTTTTCTTCTCTCTCTCAAGCCTATGTACACTCATCCAACATTGTGACCCATTTAGTGGTCTTTTATGTCTGAACCTGTCCTATTGTGAATCTGTAATTTTTTACTATCCAGGAGCACTTCTTAAAATGTTAAGCACTTCTTAAAAACTTAAGTTGCGCCATGTAGAGGTAATACGGTACCACCTGTTTACTGCCAGTCTAAACCTTAATTGCATGGTTATTAGGATAATTACAATAGTTCCTGCCTGAGACCAGCACAGTTCAGCATGGCGGAGCTGCTTGTGCCTCTGGGTCACTTGTGCCTCAGAGCTGCAGAGTGGAGGGCTGTTCTGGTTGTTGGCTCCACCTCTCTCCAATTTCAAAATGGAGGATGTACCATTTTCTACTAGCTCTGGGGCCACCAGGTAGGAGCCGCACTCAGCACTTTAACTCTGAGACTGAGCGTGCGGCACAGAAACTCTCTCTCTTCATCCAAGTTGCAGCCAAATCGGACACGCAGAGCACTGCATAGTCTGAAAACATCTCTCTGTATGGCAGCAGGAATCGGCCATGCTCTCCAGCCTGCCTAAGTCTGATTCCTCCATCTGCCCAGGCAGCAAGAGCTGGGCCAAGGGCATGGTCTCAGCTACTTTCCTCCCGATCCTGAGCGGAACACAAACATCCAGTCTCATAAAAGCCATTGAAATGCTTTATAGCCAGAGTTCGCGCTGGCAGCACAGCCCAGGAAGCTGCGTTTTAAACTTGCAGCAGCTTTTTTCCTGCTATGGCTGCTGAGTCAGGGAAATTTCTTGGCAGGATGCCACCCACAAACAGCAAAAAGCTGTGTTAAATTCTCTCTCCTTTTTAAGCCCTCTCAGGTTTTACGTGTCATTAGTTACCACGTTGGAGCACCACTCTGTAGCTTTATACCTGGAAATAATTACACGGAAACTGTATTCTTTTAAACACTGCTTGGCCCATTAGCTCTAGCCTCTTACTGGCTAACTCTCACATCTTGATTCGCCCATTACTATTAATGAGTGTAGCATCACGAGGTGGTGGCTTACCAGAAGGGATCTTAACCTGCATCCATCTTGGAGAGGAGAGCTATAGCGTCTGCCTCACTTCCCGTCTTCCCAGCATTCTTCTGTTTTGTCTACTCTGCCTACCTAATTTTCTGTCCTATCAAAGGCCAAGCAGTTTCTTTATTAATTAACCAATGAAAGCAACAGATAGACAAATGACCCTTCTCCATCATTCCAGGCATTGAGACAGAGCTGAAACTACCCATGCAAGTCCCTACTGAATTTTTAAATTACCTTTTATTTGCTCTATGCAATGTTAGCCACCTGGGTGATGTGGGAAAACTAGTTCTACAGAGAAGCCATGGCAATCCTTTGAAAAGTTTTGGGAAAATGCAATACAGATAAACTAGAGATTTGTAATAATGCCACTGGTTAATTTATTTCTGTAGCAGAATAATTTTATCTATGGGTGATATGTTGCAGTAATAGGGAAACTTGAAAATTCCAAAGTCCTTTCTTTTCTTTATTGATAGTATTGTTTAGCTTGTGTGTGTGTGTGTGTGTGTGTGATATTTATTACATTATTTTGAAAGAGAATTTAATCTGTTTTGTAGATATGTATTAAGAATAATAAAGTGGATCTTTCCACTTGGCAAGGAACATAGACTTTCTAAGACTCAGGCCTTAACCAGTAGGAAGTGTTAGGAAGCGTGTTTTTGTTGCCTCTGTTATTTTGGTCTTAGATTCCTTGTCTCCTTTATTAATGATATTTAAAATCTTGTGCCTAAAAATTCATTTGGCTTAATTCTGATGTAGACATGCATGTTTACATTTATATTTGCTGTGTAGTCTCTCTCAAGATAAATATATTTCAATAAAAATGAAGGTCTGCAATATATTCAAGTGTCTTGGGTTGTTAGTTTCTTTAACTGAAAATCTGTGCAAAATAGGGCTTTTTAAGAATCCGTTAGGCTGGGGCTGGAGAGATGGCTCAGTGGTTAAGACCTTTGTCTGCTCTTCCAAAGGTCCTGAGTTCAAGTTCCGGCAACCACATGTGCTCACAGCCGTTTGTAATGAGATTTGGTGCCCTCTTCTGGCCTGCAGTGATACATGCAGGCAGAACACTGAATACATAATAAATAGATAAATAAATAAATAAATCCCTTTTAAAAAAGGGAATATTTTAGGCTAGGCAGAGGTGGGACACACTTTTAATCCTAGCCCTTGGAGGCAGAGGCATCTCTGTGAGTTTGAGAATAGCCTGGTCTACAGAGCGAGTTCCAGGATAGTCCAGGCTACACAGGAAAACCCCATCTTAAGCAACCAAAAAAAAAAAAAAAAAAAAAAAGCTTTATGCCTAAATCTAATGGATTAACTTAATTCCTTTTTAGTTTTGTGTCATAAAGTTTTAACTTAAAGGTCTTAACATTCAAAACTATAAAACAAATTTTGGTTTTAAAAGGTGTGACGGAGACTAGAGAGATGACACAACTTTTGAGAATGCCGCCTGCAAGTATATTGAACAGATACGGAGAGTGGACAGCCTTGTCTTATTCCTGATTTCAGTGGAATTGCTGGGAGTTTCTCTCCATTTAATTTGATGTCGGCTGTTGGCTTGCTGTATATTGCCTTTATTATGTTTAGGAATGTTCCTTGTATCCCTGCTCTCTCCAAGACTTTCATCATGAAGGGGTGTTGGATTTTGATAAAGGCTTTTTCAGCATCTATTGAGATGATCATGTGGGGATCATATGGTTCAGTTTGTTTTTATGGTGGAATTATATTGATGGATTTTCATGTGTTGAACCTTCCCTGTGTCTCTGAGGTGTTCATGATCATGGCAGATGATTTTTTTGATGTGTTCTTAGATTCGTTTTACAAGTATTTTATTGAATATTTTTTCATTAATATTCATGAGTGAGATTGGTCTTTAATTCTCTTTCTTTGTTACACCTTCGTGTGGTTGGATATCAGGGTATCTGTAGCCTCAAAAGGAGTTTGGCAGTGTTCCTTCTGTTTCTATTGTGTGGAACAGTTTGAGGGGTTTTGGTATTAGCTCTTTGAAAATCTGGTAGAATTCCGCACTGAAACCATCTGCTTCTGTTTTTGTTTGGGAGGCTTTTAATGACTGCTTCTATTTCCTTAGGGGTTATAGGTCTATTTAAATTGTTTATCTGGTCTTGACTTAATTTTGATATATGGTACCAATATAGAAAATTGTATATTTCTTTTAGATTTTCCAGTTTTATGGAATATAGGGTTTTGAAGTATGACCTCATGATTCTCTAGATTTCTTCAGTGTGTGTTGTTATGCCCCCCTTTTCATTTTTGATGTTATTAATTTGTATAGTCCTTCTCTGTTGTTTGGTTAGTTTCGATAAGGATCTGTCTATCTTGTTTCTTCTCAAATAACCAGCTCTTTGCTTCATTGATTCTTTGTATTCTCTTTGTTTCTATTTTACTGATTTCAGCTCTCAATATTTTTTTCTTCTTCTTCTTCTTTTTTTTTTTTTTTTTTTTTTTTTTTTTTTTTTTTTGGTTTTTCGAGACAGGGTTTCTCTGTGGCTTTGGAGCTTGTCCTGGAACTAGCTCTTGTAGACCAGGCTGGTCTCGAACTCACAGAGATCCGCCTGCCTCTGCCTCCCAAGTGCTGGGATTAAAGGCGTGCGCCACCACCGCCCGGCTTTCAGCTCTCAATTTGATTATTTCGTGTTGGCTACTCCTAGGTGAGTTTGCTTTTTGTTCTAGAGCTTTCAGGTGTTCTGTTAATTAGCTAGTGTGAGATTTCTTCCACTTTCTTATGTAGGCACTTAGTGCTATGAACTTTCCTCTTAGCACTGCTTTCATAGTGTCCGATAAGTTTGGATATGTTGTGCATTCATTTTTATTGAATTCTAGGAAATCTTTACTTTCTTTCTTCATTTTTTGCTTGACCCAGGGGTGATTCAGTTGAACATTTTTCAGTTTCCATGAGGCTTTCTGTAATTAGTGTTGTTAAATTTTAACTTTAAACCATGGTGATCTGATAAGATACAGGGGGATATTTTATTGTTTTTGTATCACTTGAGGTTTGCTTTGTGACCGGGTATGTGACCTTTTGAGAAGGTTCCTTGAGGTGTGTTTGGGTGGAATGTTCTGTAGGTGTCTGTTAATAAGTCCATTAGATTCATGACATCTGCTAGTTTCCTGTTTCTCTGTTAGGTTTCTGTCTGGATGACCTGTCCAGTGGTGAGAGTGGGGTGTTGAAATCTCCCACTATGAGTGTGTGGGGTTTGATGCGTGATTTAAACTTTAGTAATGTTTCTTTTACAAATGTGGGTGCCCTTGTATTTGCTGCATAGATGTTCAGAACTGAGACTTCATCTTGGTGGATTTTTCCTGTGATGAATATGAAGTGTCCTTTTACATCTCTTAATTTTAGTTTGCAGTCTGTTTCGTTAGATATTAAGATAGCGACACCAGATTGTTTCTTAGGTCTGTTTGATTGGAAGGTCTTTTCCCAAACCATTATCCTGAGGTAATGTCTGTCTTTGAGATTGAGGCGTGTTTCTTGTGTGCAGCAGAAGGGCTGCTCCTATTTTCGTATCCATTCTGTTAGGTTAGCCTGAGTATTTTTACAGGTGAATTGAATCCATTTATATTAAGGTGTATTAATGGCCAGTGATTGTTTATTCCTGTTGTTTTTGGTTTTGGTGGTGGTGTTGGTAGGGGTGTGTGTGTGTGTGTGTGTGTGTGTGTGTGTGTGTGTGTGTTTCACTTTTTTGGATTTGCTGGTGTGGGATTATCTATTGTCTGTCTTTTTGTGGGCGTGGCTAACTTCTTTAGATTGCAATTTTCCTTCTAGTACTTTGTGTCGGGCTGGGTTTTTGGATAGGTATTGGTTACATCTGGTTTTGTCATGGAATATCTTGTTTTCTTCTGTGGTGATTGAAAGTTTTGCTGAGTCTAGTAGTCTGGGCTGGTGTTCGTGGTTTCTTAGTTTCTGTAGCACATCTGCCCAGAACCTTCTGGCTTTCATTGTCTCCATTGAGAAGTTGGGTGTTATTCTTGATAGGTCTGCCTTTATATGTTACTTGGCCATTTTCCTTTGCAGCTTTTAATATTCTTTCTTTATTCTGTATATTCAGTGTTTTGATTATCATGTAGTGAGGGAACTTTTTTTTTCTATTTTTTTTTTTTGTTCAGTATTTTTGGTGTTCTGTAAGCCTCTTGTATCTTCATATGCATGTCCTTTAGGTTGGGAAAGTTTTTTTCTATGATTTTGTTGAATATATTTTCTGTGCTTTTGAGCTAGTATTTGTCTCCTTCTATCTCTATTAGTCTTAGGTTTGGTCTTTCCATGGTGTCTCAAATTTTTTTTGTGTGTTAAGATTTTGTTGGATTTAATGTTTTCTTTGATGAATCTATTTCCTCTGATATATCTTCACCGCCTAGGATTCTGTCTTCTATCTCTTGTATTCTGTTGTTTATGCTTGCATCTGTGGTTCCCAAATTTTTCATTTTCAGATTTCCCTTGGTTTGTGTTTTCTTTATTGTCTGTATTTCAATTTTCTTGAACTGTTTTCTTTACTTATTTGATTGCTTTTTCTTGAATTTCTTTAAGGGATTTATTGATTTCTTCCAGTTTTTTGTCTTTTCCTTGATTTCTTTAAGGGAATTTTTCATTTTCTCTTTAAGGGCTTCTATCATCTTCATAAAGTTATTTTTAAGGTCATTTTCTCCTGCTTCATCTGTGTTGGGATAGTCAGGTGTTGCTATTGTAGAACCCCTTGGTTCTGGTGGTGCCACATTGCCCTTTATGTTGTTGAATATATTTTTATACTACTGTCTACTCATCTGGGTTTGGGATTAATTATAGGTACAGGTATTGATTCTTCCTCCAATTGGTACAGGTGGTGCCTGTGCCTTCAGGGACTGCTGATGCTGTAGGGGGTAGTTGGCCTGGAGGGAGGGTGATGGGTTCTGTGGGCTTGGGAGGCGGAGTGGGACTTGAAGGTTCCAGCGTCTAGTAGGTGTCAGGGGTGGTGGAGAGGCCTGCCTGTAGGAGTCTTACCTGTTGACCAGCTGCTGGGGCTCTTCCTCCAATCCCTTAGCGGTTGTTGAGTCTAAAGATACCCTGTACTTCAGAAGACATTCAGGGGTTAGTGAGTCTAAAGCAGAGATATCTAACCCACAGCCTGTAGGCCACATGTGACCCAGGTTAGGTATGAGTGTAGTCCAACACAAAATCTTAAAATATAATGAGGTATTTTTGTGATATTCTTCACTGCTTTTGATAATTTGATTTCATGTTTCTCTGATATTAACTTTGTAGATGACAGTATACTGTCACAATGTTTCAAAAGATAAACATGTGTATGCTCTAATAACCCTTTGGTCACAGTTTATACACCACTAGATTTAACATTCGGTTCCAAACAATTCTTGCTTATCAAGTATAGCCTGGACATTTTTCAGAAGAATCTGTAAAAATGTATTATCCTGAAAATAATTTAATTTTTATGTGGTTAAAATAATGAAGGGGTAGTAGTAGTTTATGAGGCAAAAATGTACCTGATGAGAAATTAGAGCTTAGTTAGAATAAATGTCTCTGGTTCAGTGTCCTGTCCCCTTCCTGACATCAGCGAGAGAGGACTTTACACTCGACGGTGTCGAGACTGCAGTGAGTAAGATTCTGAAGCAAAGGGCAAAGTCCTCTTTCTGCCTCGAGTGTATTCTGAGTTTACACCTGCTCTGACTGCCAAAAGCAGAATTATACCATCCCTTAAATATTTACTTCCTAAGGGCAGATAGTCTCTTGGACGAGTAAGCTCTGAAATACAACAGTTATCATAAATCATATTCCTGAAGCTTTGTATAGCATAGGAAATTCTATTCACTAGAATTGTTTGTTTGCTT